TACTGTTTGGTACCTGAGGAAAAAAAAAATGAAAACGAGGTCGTGACTTTCACTAAAACCTTTGAAAAGGTGGTTAATTTTTATTTTTTGCTCATCGAAAAAGGTGGTTTAATTGTAAGTACAGGTTTTTACAAATCGAAGAAAAATATATATAAAAAGGAACGTACACATTTTGACAAAGGGGAAGGTGCAAAATACTTCTTTGGCACTCAATACTAGTCTTGAAACACTCTAGAAAACCAATCTCAACGCTAATCTTTCCTCTCACTTTCTTTTTTTCTTTAAAGAAAAAATGACAGAATATTAAAAAAAGTATTCTCCTATTTATTTATTGATTTATTTATTTATGAACCCTCTTCAATCTGGGTGAAGAGGAGACATGCCATCATATGTTTTATAAGGAAACGAGAGATTTTTTATGTTCAGTTGAACTAATGAAGAACATTTTTAATAAACCAAACTCGGAGTTTTCAGAAAGTGTGGTGAGGAAGTAAGATGGCATTCGTGAATTTAAATCTAGGTGATATTAGAGTTAATTAGATTTATATTAGATTTAAATTATGATGTGTAGAGCTGCATATAATCCCCATTAATAAGAAACTTAATCTCCTTTTTGTTTACTCTTTATTCTGTATGGTGCAATCTCACAGATATATATATATATATATATATATTATATGGACAGTGCCAACGTTCCATTTTTTAATCAAAAAAATTAATGGAACTACCCCTAATTAATTGCATTAACCTTACATTCTATAATGGATCCACTGGTTAGTCAAGATGGATGATAGATTCTTCAACATCGGCTTGTTTTCTGTTGTTGTTTAAAAAACATAAAAAGAAAGAAAGAAAAAGAAAACGAGAATATCTCATGTGAACCGAGCACACACAATGGCGGGCAAAAACCAAAAAAAGTATAATAAATCAATCGAACAGAAACATGTACACATATTTGTGCCCTTTTTTATAGCTCTTTGGACCATTCTTTTATTTGTACATAAAAAGAGAGGGCATAAATAAAATAGGTATAAAAAGCACTTGATGCTATTCGATCCCAATAGTTATGTCCCCGGTCGACCCTAGTATAATTTGGCCAAATTGCAAAAAGCCATTGACCCTTCAAAGTAATTCACTCAAATCTTCTCGACCTTGTTGGAGATCTAGTAACACATTTTTAGTACAATTAGTGAAGATTGCAGAAAAAGTATACGCGGCCACTCTTATATATCTCCATATTCCACTCAATCTATATATTCTGCCTCGTATATATGCATGCTTAAACTTGTGGTGTTTTGAAACATGAATGACTTTTGAGTTTATCCGTTTGAGTAAGTTTTCCTAACTGAAAAGGTCAAATTATAACCTGATGAAGAAGTTATCAAACAAGAATGGATATTGTAGAATTTAAATATATATATATATATATATAGCGAACTAATAAAGCTTTACATTTATCTTTCACATGATATGCTTTAACTATCCAATAAAAGCTTGTCCAATACTATTGGTAATACTATTATTCTTTTCTAAATTTCTGAAGGAAAAATACATTATATTATGACACTTTATAATTGAAGACAAAAATGTTTCATCATGGGTACATATATACATATGTGTATATATATATATATATCATGTATTTAAAATTACTTAAACTAGTATTCATTATGCTTATCAAGCTAGGTCATTCCTTTCCAATTAAAAGAGATAAAGCCAATGTACATCTAATTGCCTTTCTTTGAAAATACTAGTAATATTTTATAGAGCAACGTTTTATTTATTACATTAACTATGATTACAACGATTCTCGATGGTATTAAGTGAGGAAGCAGCAAAGGTTGAGATCGAAGAAAAATGAATGAAACAAGATATGAAAAATAAATAAATAAATAAGTGCTACTGTGCTAATCATGTTTGAAGAACATAAGACTGACATTTAAATATATATATATATATAAGACTTATAGAAGCAATTTTTTAGGATAAGAGATACATTCAACATTGAAATATATATATATATATATTGTTAGAGAGATTGTAATATATCTCTCAATTTTGATATCACAAAACTATTGGCTTAAAACACATTCGGGAAGAGTGGGCGGACACAAGCGTGCGCTGCAGCGCGCTTGGACGCTACAGCCTGCGCAAAACAGACCTCTCAGGTCTGTTTTGCTAAGCCTGTGCGCTGCAGTGCACAGCAGCGTGCGCTGCAGCGCACGGACGCATTGCAGCGTGCTTATTGGGCGCTGCAGCCTGCGCAATTATGTGACCTCTCGGGTCTGTTTTGCTGAGCCCCGCGCGCTGCAGCGCACAGCAGCGTGCGCTGCAGCACACGGACGCGCTGCAGCACCCAAGATGGGCGCTGCAGCGCAATTGTTAACGGAAAATGTGTTTTCGTGTGTTTCAGTGATCTGAAAAGGTCTCGAACCATTGCATCTATTTGTGATATGTTTTCTCACATATCTGAGCACTTATTAACAATAGAAATAACTATTGATATAAGTGCATCAGCATATAAAAGATAACCATCAAATTGAAAATGTATCTTTATGTGAAAGGTTGTAACACTTAAGGAGGATGGATGCATCTATGTCTTTATTTTGATGGACTTCAGAAAATTACAGATTATCATTGTTCTGGAACTCAATATTTTTGCTGGATATTGTGTTCAAGGGTTTGTTGTATCTTGGGGGTAATTTACCATTTTAAAACTCGTTAGCAAACTTTAAGAAGTGAGGACAAATAAAACCTTAAAAGAAAGTATTTCTATACGCCTCAAACCCTTTTTCTGTTTTCTCTATTCTTTTCATCCTCCCAATTCCGAATTTTTCCAACATATATATATATATATATGAATATGATTTTAATAATTTTACGTAATCATTGAAAACTCATTCATATATATGTTATGGGGATCTAAAATGGACTAGGATAGGAGGATGTAGTATTTAGATTCATTCGGCTCACAATTTTATTGTTATTAGTGCTATTACTCGGAATGGTTTTAACTAATGCGAAGTTTAAGTAAGACGATCTCTCCAATTAATTATTATGATTATGGATATGTGTTCATATGAGAGAAAATGAGAGAAATAAAGAAGAAAATAGGAAGCACACGTTCACGTTGTGTCGGCCCACAAGTATGGTCCCCGTGAAAGACTAATAAATGGGTATTGGCTCATAGTCTCGCACCAAAGAATACGCCATTCTCGCCCACTCGCAGGCTGTTGAAGTCTTCTAAACGGGCGCGTGAGAAACTGATTGATATGTCCACCTCACATGGCTGGTGTGGCGGGGAGTTATATATCAGAAATATGTAGAGGCAATCGGGGGGGCCCAATGAAACAAAAAGATGTGGGGACACTTCCATTTACTGATGTCGTCCCCACCACAATTAGAGAAAAAAAAAATACACAGACAAAATTAAAATAAAAGAGAAATTTGTGAAGTACATCCCTAAACTTTTGACTTTGTGACACTTGAGTCCCCACTTTACAAAACTTTGTATTTGGGTCACTAAACTTGCAATTTCTTGACGTCCATAGGCCCTTTTTTCACTTGCGTCGTTAACTGCCTTACTCGTGCAACCCACTTTCCATTTAATCTCCCCATCAATAAAAAAAAAAAAAAACCCGTCTCATTAAAGAAAAAGAAAAAAAGGCGAGAACTTGTCTCATTAGTTGAATAATGTAGTGTTGTTTGCAACAATAAAATGGTGATCGATTGGTTCAAAATTTTGTCAGTAAAGTGAATGTTGGGGAGTTTTTTCTTTCCTTTTTTTTTAAATGCTTAAAGAAATAAAATATAAAGGGAAATTGATTATAACATGTTGGAGAGAATTTAGATAGAGTAGTGTTAGTATACCTGAGGGACAAAAAGTATGCTTCTTCCTTCCAAAAAAAAATATGCATTCTGCTTTCTGATGACTTTCCCCCCAAATCCCAAAAGAAATATGCATATTCCTTTCTGATAATTTTATTCTTTTATGGAAGTTAAGAAACTAAATTTGGGGACCCAGATGCAAATATTTTCAAAATGAAAACCCAACTATCACAATTTTAAATATTTGGCACCTATTATGCAAATATACAAAATAGAAATAGTCATTTGGCTCCGGCAGGGCACCCTTCCTAATGAATCTCTTTCCCAAGTTTCTTTTTTTCTTTTGTATTGTGTGGGGGGTGGGACCCACTTCATGCAAAAGCTAAGTAGACAACAGGTCCACAGCCCACAGATTCCTCTCTTCACAAGCACTAATCATAGACCTTATGTCGCACTAACAGAATCTTCCTCCGCTTGTCAACGTCATTTTCATCAATAATTTAAAAGTTTATTTCTATTTACATATATAAGGGCACATTGATATTTTCCTATCGCAATCTTTAAACTAGCTATTTTTTTAACCTTTTCTTTTTAATTTCAAGATCACTTTCTGAACGAAAAAATTTAAGCCTCATTTAATTCGTAGATTTAAAATTTTAATTTAAGTTAAAATATAACATTTTTAAAAAAATTTTAACTATAATAAAAAAATTAAATGTAATATTTTTTTAATAATTTTTAACTATGAAAACTTAAAACTAAAGACTCAAAATCAGTATAATAAACCGCGCCCTAATGGTTTCTCACATAACCTGATGTTATATGCATAGGAAAGAGAACCACAGCGAAGGATTAATGAAAGAATTTGGTGTCATATGGGGAAGAGAACAAAAATACTAACCCGACTTAATTTTATTTTCTTATGTAATTACATTATGTACGCATACTATATATATACACCTCAAAAAAATATAAATATTTATATATAATTTGGAATTCGGCATCTCACCGGCTGTCCAGAGCCAGGTGTTAGTGGTGCCATTAAAAAAAAAAGGAGAATCTCTTCAAAACCACTAGTATCCAACTCAAACTCGCAAGCCCATACATTTTCTCACGAATATGCAGCATACAAATCGCACATATATAAGGCAAACAGGATTCCCCACAAAAGATGAAGAAAATTAATTAATTTGGTACAATATTGACTTAATTAACTTTTGTAGATTTGCAATTTTATCCCATTTCTAGGAAAAGGAAAAATAATAGGAGAAAAGAAGTACAAAGTTGGAACTTGGGAAGTGGTATATTTCGTTCGAGTACTAGCCCATATGAAAATACAAGAAGCTTCAAAATTTGCCCATTTTTGCATTCACATATACATATATATATCTATATATATGTACCTCTAGACCCCATCCAAAGCCCCTTTTTATGTGCGATCTGTGTATATATATATATATATATATATATATATATCTTCGCAAGGACCGTCTTGCCGGTTACAAGGCGGCGACGGTTTCGCCTTTGGCGGTGACTTGGGATGATCTGGCGGCGGAAGCCGACGACGACACAACTTCTAATTTCTTTGACGCCAAAGAGCATTTCTCCATTCTCTCGTCTTGGTTCATCTGCTGTTGGCGGCACTCTAGACTGCAAAACGCACTATCTCCTCTACACCAACCAAAAAAAAAAAATCAGTAATCTTGTTTTAATTTGTCTCTCTCAATTATCGTGGCACTTGAGAGTTGAGTGTATAAGAAAACTACACGTAAAAACTGACTAATTGAAAGAAAAATGAAATGAGAATACGAAGAAATTGTGTATTGAATAAAAGGATTTTGTATAATTATATAGGTTTTATTTAGATTCTCACTTTTTTGCCACATTTGGCACCTACAATTAGACAAGTTGATTTTCTAAATCATCGAATTTAGGAAATATTTCAAGCCAAGAATTTTGTTATGAATATAAGACGCGCGCATACAATTTTTTTTTCCTTCCAAAAAAAAATTTGTACATAAACCATATTCTATGTATAATCAATAGTAAAAACGTATTTCTTCCTAAATTAAAAAAAAAATAGCGAATATAGGGAAATTAATAGGCCAAGGCCCTCCCGTGAATATATGTATATAAATATAACAAAAATACATACACGCATATAAATGTATATAACAATTCAGGTGAACCAAAAATTGAAAAGGAAAAAAAAAAGAAAAAAAACTGAAGAGAAGGGACTACTCCAAGAGGGAAAAAAAGAAGAAGAAAGAGATAAATTTGTTCTAGAAGAGCAAGATCAGTAAGCTAAAGCAAAGAAATATATATATATATATATATGTATGTATATGAACGTACGTACCTATACATGTAAATATCACGATTAGGGACAAGGCGCCTCCGACAGAGAGAGCAAGATCTCAAGAAGTGAGAGGTCTCAACAAAATCAGCGGAATTTCTCCTATGGTTTCTGGGGGAGGCCATCATCATGTGATTACTATTATTATTATTGTGATTATGAGCTGCCAGGAGCCGTTGATCCTGTTGTCGGACATCAACCTTGAAGGGATTGTGAGGATCAGATGGCTGAGAGCTCATCATCTCGTCGTTGGTGCTCAGATCAAAGGTTATCTCCGTCATACTCGTCGTCCTCTTCATTGGAGGGCGTGGCCTCTTTCCCAGCAACATCTTTCCTAATTAATTATCTTTTCTCTACGATATAATACTATGTAGTACGTACTACCAAACAAGCTGCTCTGCTCTTCTCTGAATCTAGAGAGAGAAAGCCAGAGAAGGAGAGAGAGAGAGAAGGGTAGAAGGGTTGTGTGAAAGAAAGAGGTGAAGAAGAATTGGAGGTGGGGCAGATAAAAGAAGAGCCAGAGACCCCGGAGTGAATCTGGGCCGTTGCTTGCAGTTAAGAGAAAGATTAAGATCATGAGAGAGACAGGGAGACAACGTGTGTTTGGTTGCATTTGCCACGTCGGCCATGCCATTATAATATACTGGTATTATTATTATTTTTTTTTTATATTTTATGAAAAAAGATTGTATGTCTATAAAATATAATGACTTTGGCAAATGGGAGCTTTGGATGCTTCAAAAATAAAAGCCCATTCTCCAATGGGAGCTTTGGAGCCCTTTTAGTGAGTATTATTGGCTAATATGGTGTGTGTACTCATGTTTGTGTCATTACGTTTTTTTTTTTTTTTTTGATAATTCATGTTTGTGTTATTACGTAACACAAACGACTAGGTCATCTTCTCATTTCCATGCTCCGTTCTTATGAAACCACTAATTAATCTGACGATTGCCATTTGCTAATTAGTTCCTTTTTTTCTTTTTAATTATTTGATAATATTGATTATTAAACTCAACCAAAGGTCGTTATATGTTGGATGGAGAAATTATATATATATATATATATATATTTGTTAATCTTAATTGACACTTAACTGTGGTACAGTTGGTCAGCATTTTTGTGGAATGATGCTAATTTCACAAAGAATTATTCCCGATGTACTTGCTTTGTTTAAATGCTTAGATAAAAGCTTATAATAATCAGATACATAAAAACACAAGATTCACTGCTTTTTGCAATTGTACTTTGATAATATTTACTTATTCACGTAAAGGCACCAAGTGAGGATCGAAAAGGGTTGTGTAATAGACTATAGGTTTAGAGTATTTTTCATCTTTCATTGTACCAATTGCTAGAGTTTTTTTCCCCCCTCCAAAGGCGCACAATTAACAAATATTAGACGCAGAAACGGTCGGATGATTTATTTTTTTATTTTTAATCATATCAATAGATACATAGAATTATAGGATTCAATGCTATACCTAATTGTACTATAGTCCGTATTAAGACTTTTAAAAATCCAATCAAGTCAAAATGAGTTAGAATGAGAGTAATCTAGCTTATTTTCTTATTATTATATTATTATTTTTTTAACTTTGATTGCCACATCTCATGACAACTACCCTTAAGTATATATAACACATCATAATTGCATTAATGCAATTTGTATCCATTAAATTTTGTCAGCAGAAAAGTGGTACCAACTTACAAAAGGCCAAAAAAAAAAATGCCAAAAAGAATTTTTTTTTTCTATAATAAATTGAAGATGAGGTAAGATCTTGAAAGTACCATGCATTTTCATATTTCTTCTTCTAATTGGTTAGGTATCGGCATAATGTGAAATTGTCCAAGCCACAAGAAACTTGAAATGTAGTGACCAAAAAAAAAAAAAAAAGAATTAAACTAGCACTAGTGGAAACCCTAGCTAGTGTCATTGATTTCATGGCTGTAGATGGTAGGCAACCCATAGGATTTGGATCCACATAAAAGCAGATAGACTGTAGACATGAATCAGTGGATCTACCCTTGTAATTGGTCATTTTCCGTGTGGTTGCACGAACAAAGCACTAGTTATTTTAGGCTTTGTTTCATAAAGACATACAAGAAGGGGGAAAAAAAGATATATAACTGTGGGCTAAGATTTGAAATAATAGAAAAAACAATGATGTTTCGAAGAAGATTAAATGATATATTGTAGGACAAAGAAAAAGGTATTCAGGTAGCCATAGAATGAAGATCAAAGCGGAAACTTTAAGTGAATCGATAGGGCCGAAGGAAAGACCAGGACAAAAAGAATAAAGTAAATTGACAAGGGAGAATGAGAGAGATTTTAAGTGAATCGTAAGACACACATTGAGATAGGAAAAGTAGCTTGATCAAATGGATTAAAGAATTAAATGAGAATCCAATAGCTTGAGAAGATTCAAATGGAAGTTTTGATTAAAATCGAGGATTATACATATATATATACAAGAGAGGAGACATTTTTTTCCTTTCTCACTAGTCACCAAAACTCTGTCCGACGGATTTCAAACAGACCCATCTGGAAACCTATTCATGTTTTCATTAGAATTCAAACTCCGTTAGTTTACCAATTCATCCCAAAAGCTTAAACTAAGAAGCTTAAGCTGTTAAGAGGTGGACCAACAATAGTTTTTATACTTTAACACTCTCCCTCACGTGTGGGCTGGACAATGGGCAATCGTGTGGGTAAATTAATTGAAAAGCCCAACACGTGAATATTTAAGCCCGAGTTATATTAAAGACCCAACGCATGATGACAATTTTAAATGGGGATAAATAGTGCAATTACGGGAGTTTGAACTCAGGACCTCCCGCTCTGATACCATGTTAGTTTACCAATCCATCCCAAAAGCTTAAACTAAGAAGCTTAAGCTGTTAAGAGGTGGGCCAACAATAGTTTTTATACTTTAACAAACTCTGAGAGAGAGTTTGTAAGCCAAAATATAGTCTTTTAGTTGATTTGGGGCACTAGTGAGGAAAATGAAGAGGTGAGTCCCGTATTGACGGGAGTGAGGTGTATTTCACGTAGTATTTAAGAACTCATAAGTTCTCTTCTAATCAACAATTGCCTAGATAGGATCACTTAGTGAGATCTGCTTATGGACCATGGTGTAATTAACTACTCTTGAATATCTTTATGGTCTTCTCATGAGTTTTGTATGCTTCTGTGTGTTAAAAACAAAAAACAAAAAACAAAAAAAAAAAAAGAAGAAGAAAGGACCTTTCTCTTATTATGTGTATTTTCTAATCTCTATATTTGGAGAAAGTAAAATTATTATTCTTTAATAAATTGGAACTCAACTAATTTACTTGCTCCTCTTTTCTCTATCACCAAATAACTAAGAATTTCAAAAATCCTTTCTACTAATCCCCTCATCCCTCTCCTCCTCCCTTTACTTTCTGCATACATACAAGCTCCTAAAAGCTTAGATCTGCACAAGCTTTATACACTTCCTGAAAATTTATTCGTTCAGAATTATGTGACAGGTTATATCTTATTAGTATTATACAGCTTTATATTGTCAGATTCTCATTATATTTTGTTAAATTTTTACAATCTTTTTAGTTATATAAGATGGAATTTCATGTAATATGAGGGTAAAAAATTATCAATAGATTTTTTTTTTTTAAAATCCATTGCAAAATTCTCTCTCTCCTCTTTTTTTTTTGGTTGTGTAAATCGCTCTACAATATACTAATTGTAGAAATAAACATTTTGATAATTTGATGCTGACATCAAAGTATATAACTATGCAAAAACATATATGCTTATCATTCTTCTGTTAATCTACCGATTTTTGTTTGTTGTATCAAGGACTTTTTACTGTAATTTATATAATATTTATGCTTTGTTGTTAATAAAATGTTGTTCTACATTAAAAAAAAAAGTCAGATTTTAATTGAAAAAAGTTCCGAGTATTAATTATTCAAATTAGACTGCCGTTAATTAATTAATTAGGAAAAGAAATTATATTGTCAAGATAGTGCGAAAGACTTGGCAAATTAAAAGGTGCGTAAAGACTGAAGAGCCCCCAAAAAATATAAAGGTCAGTATGTGACTAAGAATTGATTAAAAGGTACCTAAAGATATCAAATCAAAAAGTAGTTAGTGCCCTATTGTGAGGTTTGATTCTTTCTTTGTATGAGAATTTCATATGGCGGTTATACATTACTATCTGGACTAGTTACTAGCTAGCAATTAATTAATTAAGAGATATTTCTTTTGCAACGTAAAAAATGTTCTTCTTCTTTTTCTCGAGACAAAGGCGATATTCTTTTCCTTGAAATATGTTGTCCATGTCAGCGAAATTGAATTTGAGTATAGGAATCAAGGCAAGAACATATGCTTTACCAGATTTCATCTTCATAGTTTTATGATAAGGTTATAACATCTTTATTGGATTTGCTTTCTTCGTTCAACAGATTTTGTCGTGTTGACAAATGTTCTTAAATTCGTTATTCCTAGCTCTGCGAAAGTGAAAATTGTGTTTAATTTGTGATGCTTCTATTCTCTAAAGACTTTTACTCACGTGGGTTGTCTAAAGTGTAACCAAAGAGGTTAATAAAGTACTAGGTACTTTTTTTAATTTTTTTTATTTCTATTCTCTAAGACTTCTTTGTTTTTTTTTTTTTTTTTTTTTTTCACTCGAAGCTAACTCAAGTTGTTAGGTGTGTGAGTATGTGCGCGCGCGCGCCCATTATGGTTCGAACTCTGGTGGTTTTGAGCTCATTTAGAAGGTATACTCAAATCATAAATTTTAATTTTAACGTTTGAAATTTAAATTTTTTGTGAGAGGAAAACAATGCAGCTGAATCAATGATTTGAGTTTGAGCATATAAAACAAACAAACCATTTATTTCTTTAATAAAGTGGGAGCCATAGGCCCTGCATCGTATAAAAAATAAAAAATAAAAAGTAGTAGGTATTATTATCTCGGAAAAAAAAAACCTTGGAATTAGTAGCAAAACTTACATAAGGGTAAAGTTGTTATGTGGCATCAAAAAATATTACATGAATAATACTTTCTGGTTACTTTTGTATAAGATTTTCTTTTCCTAAATGTCATATGAGATTATTCTAATAATTATAATAATTAACACAAATCATGATTATTGTATCTCTATCGGTAATTATTATTCTAGTTACATAATTTATAACTTTTAAAAATAAGTAAAATTAATTCTATTCATGAAATATTTTTTTTCTTCAGCATTGAAAACATCTTAGTCTAATGACAATAAGGTTGCGAGTTCAATCTCGTATTGTAAAAAAAAAAATATAATAAAACAAAATAAAACAAATATTACCCCTAAAATTTCAACATTTTGCATTAATGTATCTCACTACACAGATTGAACTTTCTCCCAAGTCAATGGACAATGAAGTAAGAAATTTTCCAATTTGATTTCAATTTCGTTGGCTGACATTGATCAGTGATATTGATTAATTGCCAGATATGGGCAAATATATGTATCATGATCACTCTTGAACGAACACGTATAGGAGGGGTCTCCTGAATATAATGGGACCCATTTAATTAGTAGTCCATATCGTAAGACTTTGGAACCACACATCATGATCGTGTGAACGAACAGCTCACTTGAAGGTGAAACGTATCCATATGCAATACTGTAGAATCATTTATTATTAATTTCTTGCCAAATAATTTGGCCCGCAAACTTGTTAAGCAAAATGGTTGCTTAGGTGCTACGAATTAATGCCCTTTTGATCAAGTGGCCATTTACATGAAAGTTGCTTGTAATGCAATATCATTTACCACATTTCGCAAACAAAATATCTTCCGTGATATAATTACAAGGCACGCAATATCCACCACCAAAGTATCAATTATTTATATGTAATAGAAATATCCAACCAATTGTTTTTGAAATTAAATTAAATATCCAACCAATTACATTGTAGCATTATTCATTATTATGGTTTTTTATCACCATGCATAAAAAATCAACACTTTTTTTTTTTTGGTTATGGAAAAGGGTGATTTTGTGATAGGAGATATGATGAATAGGATATAGTTTAACCGCCGGATTAAAAAATATATATATATATATATATATTTATATATAATGTAATGTAATAAAATCCAAATATCTCACTAGTAGAGTTGTTTTTTCCTAAAAAAAAATAGAGTTTTTTTTTTAGACTTTCTCAAGTAGGCTTCTCTATCGGTAGCATTAGTTTCTCATTATTGAATTAGATTAAAATTACATCAAATTAAAAGAAATATGCATAACTAATAAGTTATTATGTATATCTAACAGTTAAAAAATAAAAATATATATGTAATTCATTTTTTTTAACGTGTTAGAGAAATTCTCTTTTTTTTTTATGATATACTCCACTAACTTGTCGTTTTATTGTTTAAGATAAAGTGTGATACTTAAATAAGTATCGTCATTCAGCAAAAAAAGTAAGGCATATGTCATATTGTTACAGTATTTTTTTTCATAAAAGTTCAAACTCAACCTTTTTACTATAATGTTTTTCTCTTACATACACAACTCAAGTCATAACTTGAGTTGTATAAATAAAAATACCTTAACGTCCCGTTTATTTTACTGATTCGAGTTTAGAATTCAAATTTTTTTACAGTAAAAAGTTCTCAAAAATAATCACATTTAACTTTTTTATTACAATATAAAATTTTCACTTAAAATTACGTCTTAACTCAAATTAAAAATTTAAATCAACGAATTAAACGACTCTAAATATATAGTCAAACAATAATGTTATTGTCGTATTGATGGCTAACAGCGTTGTTATTATTATTATGGTTTTTATTATTATTATTATTATTATTGAGGTAATAGCGTTTGAAAAATTTATGATTGGATGGTGTTTCAATTGAATTGATTGGGTAGCATCATGGGACGTGAGAGGTGATGTTTAGGTTCAATATAGTGAATTTTTATAGATTTTTGTACTGGGTAATTCATTATTAAATAAAACAAAAAGGCTTTAATTTCCAGGTTCATTTGTTTTTATAGAAGACGTTTGATTCATAAATTAAAATTATGAGATTAAAATTATTTTTAATTTACATATATTTTTTATAAGAGAAAATATTATAATAAATTATGAAATATAATTTAAATCAAAATATGAATCTTTCAATCAAACAACCTGTAATAATTGATGTTTCCCACCAAAATGGGTATGGACAAAACTTTATGATGCCAGCCGAAAGGCTATTCTGACTAGTGTCCAATTCCTTCTACAGAAAATGGACTCCACTGGGCTTTGCTTGTCTTCTTGAGTCTTATTTGCAGGGTAAAAGTGTTTTATTTTTATTTTTCTTTTCTGCTGCCCATAACCAATTGTTTGATGTACCAAAACTAATTTATCCAATCTGTTTTCAACTTGATTTTGTTAATCAACCAGCTTCAAAATTTCCCTGATAAATCATTTTTGTTTTGATTTCAATCATTTAAAATAACTTTTTGTTGAGAACAAAAAAAAAACCCCTATTATTTTGTAATTCTAAAAAAATACTAAGGTCTCGTTAATTTCACCGATTCGAGTTTAGAATTTGAGTTTTACTACAGTAAAAAGCTCTCAAAAATAGTCACATTTGACTTTTTTACTACAGTAAAAAACTCTCACATAAAATCACATCTCTATTCAAATTAAAAACTTAAATCAACGAACTAAACGGGCCCTAAAAAAATAACCAACTATATCATACACAATTTTGAAGGTTCAAATTTTTATTTAAATTTACATATATTTTAATTCTAACATGTGAGCTATGTAATTGCTAGTTGAATATTGAACTTAATGCCACATCCACTTATTTAAATATCGGCAATCATAAACCAACTTGGGCCTATAAAATGATGATATAATGCAACTTTATAGTTACTATTAGTGTTAATCTTTCCATTGTCTTTTGGATTGTATCATACAAATATCGTGTCAGCACCACGCTTAAAAAAGATTCATGACATATCAGAATTCTGATGATTCCTCAATAAATAGATAAAGTCAGCAGCTTTTCTTATTATATAAAAATAAAAGGTGAGTTTTTTTTAAGATTAAAAAAAATAAATTATCAGTAATTTTTTATTTTTTAACAGTCAGATTTATATTAAAAATTGTCTGTTTTACATATTTTTTAATTTAATTTGATTTTAACAAGATTCAACGATCAAAAATTCATACTACTGGTAAAAAAACCTATCAAAGAACGTCTCAAATAAAAGAGATAGAAACAAGCCTTTTGAAAAAAAAAAAATTTTTTGATATAGATCTACGGTTATAATTTCAAGCAAAGAGATTATACATATTGGATGTAGTATTATTCTGACGAAATGGCGAAGAAAAACAAGTTCTCGCACGATGTTCATAGTTCAAGGACAAGTATTATTCATTGCTAATTTTATTTTTGCTTGAATATTAATTGTTAAAAATTTCTAGAGCTTGATATATCCATTCTTGATCATCCACTCTAGACTCCAATGCTTCTTGACGTTTTTAAGAGTCCAATAAGCCCACCCAAATGAGGCTCTCCCATAAACCTCCAACTGAGCCTTCCCAAATCTTTGGTAGTCTTCTTTGGTCGCGTCCTTAACTTCCCACTCAGCTACCCATTCCCCTGTCAAGTAAATCCTTAATTAGAACACATGAATCAAAACAAAAAAAACAAAAAACAAAAAAGAAATCAATGAAGAACATTGTGTTTTTTACTTTGTGTGGAACATCTGAGGTAGGACTGACAATTTAGGTAGCAATACGATGATACTATTATAAATAGGTTTGAGTCATAATCGAGTTGATACGATTAATAAATTGGTTGAGTTAGGGTCGACCTCCTAACATTGGTTGAGTTAGGGTTGACCTCCTAACATGAAGTGACATGAATTGATACGATTAACTATATGTGTCATCTGTAATCTAATGATATGTGATATAATATGAAAATTTATATGACATATTAAATACAAATAATGTGAATTTTAATATTTGTAAGTAAAATTTATTTATTTTTCTTAAAAGAAAAGATAAATTGACCAATAAATATGTTAAAGTTGTCTTGACTATGTTAAATTATATTAGTTATTTATTTAATAAATTAATTTAAACGGGTTATACAGGTTGACACGATTAACACGATTAATAAATTGATCATATTTAAGTTGACCTTTTTGACACTTTTAATAAACAAGTTGTGTTTAAGTTGACATTTTCTGACACGATTAATAAAAAAACTGACACAAACACGACCCACTAACACGTATTACCACCCTTAATTTGATTGAGGATCACATGTCATTCCGTCATCATTTGTTTATAAAAAATATTTCAAAATTAAAAAAGACCTGATTCAATTGCACTAAGAGGATCGTCGCGCAAACCACGAATAGAGCATATATATACTTACCAACAAATGTGAGAGGACCATTTGATGTGGTAACATAATTCAGCTGGTGAGTTCGGTTGGTGTGGATGAAATTGATGTTCTCTTGGACGGTCAAGTTGTTGAAGCTGTCGGAGAAAAGGTTGTAGTAATGGACGTCGACGACCGCTCTGGTTAAGCCTGTGGCGACCGAGAAAAGCTCTCTTGCATCTATTTCTCCTAGACGGTTTGAAATCAATACATAAGCCGTGGAAGAGTGCTTTCTAACGGCCTCATAACCAGCCTTGTAATACTTGCTCACTTCCTCTAACGTCACATATGGGGCACGAGGCTCGTTGAGGAGTTCAACTGCGTATAGGCTTGGCCTCTTGGCATACCTATATGATTAAAACGAACTTGTCAAAATATATTCACAGATTTGAGTTCACTTTTAGTCCCCCCACACTATAAGTTAAAACTCATTTCCGTTGTTGACTTTTAAAATGTTTTAGAACGCGTACTTGATTTATTAAGTTTTCTCATATTATTCAATCGTCCATCGTACTTTAAAATCTTGAGGAGAAAAACACGTGATGAATATTTGTAATTTAATGGGAATTAATCTTTAGATCTTACATTTTAGGGACCACGGTTAAGAATAAAACTATGTCTTTTTTCGTTACGATTTTTAACTGTTGAATAAATATAAGAATTAATTTGAGATAATTTGATAGATTGAGAACTCATTTTAAAAACGTTTTAAAAGCTACGCACTAAAATAAGATCTGGCCTATAGTATCGCAAAATTCAAAGACCGGAGAGGAAATGTTGGGTTTTTTTTTTTTTTTTTTTTTTGTATTAATTACCTGGCAGTTAAGAATTCAATGACAGCAACAGTTTGATGTATGTTATCATCTGTTTGGCCCCATTCAATGGAGCCGTCTCTGGAAGCGCTGTGCTCGTAGCCATTTTGAGAATCAGGTGCTGCGTGCAGATCTATTATGACTTTCAATCCATATTTCCTACACGCACGACAAATTAAGTAATATAATTAGATCGAAGTTTTTTTTTTTTTTTTTTTTTTTTTTTTTTTTTTTTTTAATGTGAAAAGCAATTATAGTTTATACGTACTCGGCCCACAAGAAGGCATTGTCCAGAACTTTTAGGGAACCTCCCACATAAGGCTTTGGGGGGTTTGGATCACTTGCTATCCACCAACCCACGGGTATTCTCACTGCGTTTAATCCATTTTCAGATATGAACTTGAAGTCTTCTTCAACTATGAACGTTCTCCAGTGCTCCTGATTATCGTCCATTCAACCATTTTTTTTTTTATCAGATGTGTTTAGAGTCGTATATTAACTTTCAAGTTGAAAAATACCAAAGTACATTTTATTATTACTCATAAATCATTATACAATTGTTGTCTACACAACCATCAAAATCGTCACATAACAACGTCATAGTTATTCAAGACCTGCCACGCAATCCGTTCAAAATTCTAAATACAGGATGCTTGAGAAACAATTTAAAACTAATTAGCATAAGATCAATGCACTTCTATAGCATTTTCGAGGGGTTGGGACATAAACTAATAAAAAAGATTGTTAAAAGTTAACTCAATCTTAAACTCATCCTTAGTCACATTCTTTGTCATGCCCCAATTTTGTTGTATTGTCATATAGATCAGCAATCGTCCTAAAGGCTATTCATTTAAGTTTAGATGTTTCATATGTTAGCCGTTGACTCCTTTGGTGAGTCATGCATATGTAATGTGACATGTTTCCTTGCATTATTTCTTATGACCAAAAATTATTATTTGAAGTCAAGGAAAGAAAACTGGATAACCGTCCTATTCAAAACTTGGTCCTTTTTCAAAAAGTTACTTTTATAGACTTTTGCTTTTTCAATAATTGCTTCCACCAAGGACCGAATAGGTGAATTATAATCAGCGCACCTCAACATTCATTTCCAATATTCAAAAGTCAAATCATTATTCCATTGATTAATATCACGGCCAATAAGAGTCTAGCCACAATAATTGAACCAATTTCCAAGTAAAGGCAATATTAGCTAGCCTCGTCAAGTATATGTAATTTGACAGGAAAAATGAGAAACTGAGGAGCTAGTACTTATATGAGGTCAGTTGTTAAGGATCTTACAGTCATAACTTGTGGCGCTTTTTGTGGGCCATAACCATTTGTAACTTGAAACTCGCCTTCCAATCTGCCAGAGAAACTCATCACGAAAACAGATGGATCGTCATCTCCCCATGCAGTGCCATTCCTTGCATAATCAGCTGTCACTAGCTCCTCTGTTTTTGCCTGCGTTATATATTGTTTTCCCACATTATGTCATACGACAATTTAAAAACGACAATAGTTTTTTTCCATCAATTATATTCTTCGTGCCATTCATACTATGGTCTCGGATTGTAGCATTAAAACTAAGTTGAAGTAAGGTTCAAGGCTCATTACTAATTTGCTTTATTTTCAAGGAAAACTGCAGTGTAACAGAAGGTCCAAATTAATTAAACTTTATTCTTTTTAATTTTGCCTTAACATGTTATGGTTTTATGACAACTACAAGCTACTCTTTATGGCATTTCAAGCTAGAACTTGCTAATTTTTTACTCGCTGCTTTACATCAAGCGACCTTATTGAGGAACCAAAAAGTAAGAAATAGAGTAAAAATTTACCTGTAAGAAGAATCCATTTGGTGCTTTAATCCGAACACGGTTTAAATCACCGGATTTTCTTACAATCTCGAAGGTCTCCGATCGACCGGGCGTTTTCGCTTCAGCCACTACTTTAACCCCATGCCCATTCGCGCTAAGCCCCACAAACTGATTGTTGAACACCCTAAAATGAAAAGTGGATTCATTGATCCTCCACAACTACGCATTAAGGAAAAAACACATCTGAATTAGTAAACTTAAACAAAGCATAATGAAAGTACCAACCATTAAGAATAAAACCAAACACAATTCAATACTACCTTAAATGTTTCCCAGCCTGAAGCTGTCGTGCGGTAAGCGACGATGATGGTTCCTCCTCCGAGCTCGGCGGCAAGGTACTTTTTAGTCGTCACTGACTTGAATTGAAGCCCAGTTCCATCCTACATTAAAAAACAAAAAAGAAAAGAAAAAAAAATGTTGCACATAAATGGATTTAACAGAGTATAATTATAAGAAAATCTGAATTCAAACAACATGAATAGACAAGTACAAACCAAGAAGTCCTTGTTTGGGATGCCATCAAAGAGAGAAGGTTTAATCCAGCCTTCTGTGACAATCCAACCTCCAAGATTAACGGCTCTTATTCGAGAGTGGGAATCATGGGAGGGCTTAGTTTTCCTTCCATGTGATGCAGATACTACAGAAAACAAGACAAATATGCTTATAATCAGCCCTGCTTTTGCAGAGTTGAACTTATTCAACGCCATTTTCTTTTTATCCTCGTTTTGATGTGATATTCCTGGTTTGTGAGTGTCCGTGTACCCCAATATATATTTATATAGTGGATAATCAAGAAGTAATGCTTGTTTGAAAACTAAAAAGGATTAGAGAAACTTTGACCAATATTTTAGCTCTAAGTCATTGGTGGATTCGTACGGACGACTATAATTTTAAAAGCATTCATTTAATGTAGGCAAATTTATGGTTCTATCCTTAAAAAAAGAAAATTATGATTCTATAATAAAAGTGGGTAATGTATCAAGTGCATTAAAGGCGCCTTTTTTTGG